AGGAAGCATTTTGGAGGCAGGTTTAAAACGTCATATTAAAATTTAACCCCTGAGATTCTTGATCTCTGATCTTTTTGTCTGTGAATTTCTTCAGCCAAGAATTTAAAAGCATGTTGGAGGTTCATACAAAGAGATATCTTTTTCACATTGAAATAGTGAGACTACAGTTTTTATAGGCACCTAACCCATAGACATAGTTCTATCTACATTTCATATTCTCCTGTCTCTTTCCATGCTGGATTTAGAGAGTTGGCTAAAATTAATACATCCCTGGACAGAGGCAAAATAACTTATTGTTTAATGTTTTTTCAATATTGTTCTCAGTAGTCTGGGCCTAGCTAAAATGTAATTGGTCAGGAATTGTTTTTAAGTGGAAAATAAATGCTCTGGAGGAAATCAATTGTATCTCTTCAGATGCTGCCCTGTTCCTAGGCACTTACCCTTCTTGTTTGTTTCCCTAATATTTACCACAGGCATAATTAAAGTAAGACAGTAAGACATCTAAATTGTGACACATAATTACAGAGAAAGAGAATACTGACTCACAATATACTTCTGCAGCTAAGTGGGCTCTACCATCTTAATTCAAAGCCAAATGAATTTTCTTAAGATTTTGTTGTGATTGTATTTCAGTTTCAGTTAAACAAATGTTATAAGCTAATTCTTAAAAATCTCAACTCTTAAGAGAAATTTCCACTTTCAGGGCACTTTTCTGAGTGCTTCTTCCTCCTCATTACGTTTCACTCTAGGTGGGTGGCATGCTGGGCTTTCATCCCATCCTGTATCTTGGTTATGGGCTATACAGCTAGTCAAGCAAGACCTAGCGTCTAACCCAAGGTCTGGCTATCTGGCTATAGGAATCATGACTCCAAAATCTGCTTTAATGCTTGAAGAAAACAGCTTGCCTAAATGCGTATTTTTTTTCTTAACATGTAGAGAATTGGTAAATAATGAAAGGCATCATATGCCATGTTCCCACCTATCTTACTGGCCCTGTGCTAAGCCCTTTCTATGTATTATTTTATTCAGCACTCAAAATGCTACATTAGGATTGATTATCCTAATGATTATTGATTATCAATGATGCAACTGAGAATTTGGGAAGTTTTCATAACTTGCTGCCAAAGTTCATGCAGAATTCATGAGTAGCAGAGTTGACGTTTGAACCAGGCTGCTTCCCTCTAAGGACCACACTTGTGACCACTGTTGTTAGGTGCTTTGTCCACTTAAGATTCACACTTATGCCAAAACAGCTTGGGCCTCCTGCCTAAGTGAGACTGTTGACAAGGAGAGTGTTTCCCAAGGAGACTGCATCAAGAAACTTTTGTGTCAAGTAGTAGTGTGATACTAAAATACAGTATAAAATATTTCCGGTTATTTTTAAATCTGTCAAGAAGCATATCCTGTACCGGGCTTCAAAGAGCAGTATAATATCGCAGAGTTTTCAATTTGTAGTATAGTCAGGTTTTGTCTGTAATTAGAAGACTGTAGGTAGAATAACTTTTAGCCAAGGAAGTTGAAATTCTAGAACAAAGATTTCATTTTATATAGAGGAAGAAATCCATTATAGTACCTATTGAACCACAGTTAGGGTAGTGAAGTTTCTAACTCCATTGAAGTGTGGAATATGGTTGCCAAATTGAGGAAACAGTTTTTTTTAAATAAAATACAAAATAATTAAGAGCATGTACTCAGATTCTTCACTCCTAATCTTCTTAAGGAAGGACAGTTTGAAAATAAATTTATGGCACAAGAAGCATGTTCCCTTTGACTTATAACAAGGATACGTACTATACGTCGGAGAAATACAGGCATGAGCACTGAAGATTGATTGGTTCTCAATATGAATTTTGATGTCAGGAAGACCTTTTTATACCTGCCTGTGTAAATGTGGGCTTAACATCCTTATGTTTCCATGTACATAATACCAGACTTTGCATCAACAATTGCTATAAAGTACTGAACCTGCGAATTGCTCAGCCTGTGTTCAGCTTGCAGTGTATTTTTAAAAATGCTGACCTGCTAGCCTTGATCTTTTTCATGGGTCTAGATGTGCTCAGTTAAGCTCTGCTCACCTGTGGTTCTGTTCACCCGTTTGCCTCACAGCACTGTAATAAACTGTACGTTGACCATTGGACCCTTTCACCCCCTGCTCTCTAGACAAAGGAATCAGCATGTGGACCACAAGAAGACTTGTCACATATTTTAAGGAATTTGCACAATCAGTTAAGGAGAAATGAATCACTCAGTAAACATTGCATGCCAGAGTCCTTCATCTGAATTGTGTTTGTAAACATAAATACCCATATTTACATATTCTCAGTTTTCTCTGAGTCTAACTTAATGAAAATCATGAGTTTTACACCTGGGAATACAAACACTGATCATGTTTCTATAAGAAAAACAATGTATGAATGTCTAGCTTCTGTTTCATGTTTCTCTTGGAGAACATTTTGGCAGATTTGGGCATAAAAGAACTTTTTGAGCCAAAAGTGTTAACTTTACTTTTCTGTCTTTGTTCTCTCCAGAAAGTGGGGTTTTCCTTACATTTCAGGAAATAAATAATTGACATTGCATTTGATATAAGAATACAAAGGAGTTTTTCTTATGTTTAACTCTTACATCTTAATGAAACTTACTTTGAAGAATAATTGTGCTTTATTAAAACCACAAGAGGGTAACTGTTAGTATCAGTGATATTTCTGGTCATGAAAACACAGGCACACACAGAAAAGTCTGAGACTTGGTTTTAGCTTTTGGTCTTTTTTTCTTTTGATTCTGAAGAAAACTAATTTTAAATTATTTCACTACATTATGTGACTCATCTTTATTAATATAGCAACCACCAAGGTACTTTTTTTTCATTAACCACAGTACTAGATTAGAATTTGTAGACTCAAAAGCATGCTATTTCTGGCTTAGTATAAACAAATCCAGAAGTCTGTGCATCAATTTTAGTACGTAACAATTAACAGATACGATTTCATTGGGACTTTTGTTTGGGGGAGTTTTTTTGTCTTTTGTATGTTTGTTTATGTAGTTCCACAGACTGAACCCAGGGCCTTGCACCTGCTAATCAAGCACCCTACCACTGAGCTATATCCCCAGTCTTCTTTGGGTATTTTTCTTCAAGATAGGATCTTAATAAGTTTCCCTTGTTAGGCCTTGAACTTGTGATTCTCCTGCCTTAGCCTCCTGGATAGATAGGATTACAGGCTTGTGCCAGCAGTCTTGGTTACGTCACTGTTTGCAGAGAAGACAAAATTTTCTACCAGCACCTCAAATAATGTCCTTTGTCTAATTACCAGTGACATTCTTATATTGGTAGCTCTACCCCCGTATTCTGTGAATTGAGAACCTCTGTAGCTGTCCAATTGACAAAGTATTGAATTGAACATGCTCGGGATACTCTGAAGTAGAATGGGTTCATTCAGCACTTCATTCAGAGCTTTCTGAACTTCTTGGGGAAATGTTTTCATTGCATAATAACTGATTCTTCCTTATTTGCACTAAGTGCTCAGAGTCTCCAGCATTGTGACAAATTATTTCTAGGATGAACTAAACCAGAAGCTCAGGTACAAATAGTATATCACATGTATTCTTGAAAATAACCTTTCTTAAACATAACGAACATTTATTGCATGCTTCCTCTGATAGCTTCATTGTATTGCATTATTACAGTTTCAAATGGGGAATAAGTTAATGCCTTTGGAAATAAAACTAC